GGCGTGACTTACACGCCGGAGTGACTTATAGTCCGAAAAATAGGGCAGACTTGCATGTCAAAGCAGAGAAGCTCCAGAATTCACTGCAGAGGTTGCACTAGCACTGAGTAATGACTGGCTGCGGATGCTTCTCTTTTAATGCAAATTTTTATAATGATTATGAATGTTTTGATTTGTTTGTATTGACATATTTTAAATGCCTTTCTCATTCTGTAAAGCACTTTCAAATACTTTGTGTACAAATTGTAATATACAAATAACCTTGTCTTGACTTGCCTTGCCTGAGGTTTAGACAGTGACCTTTCTGATCACAGAGAGTTTCTTCCAACTGGATTGGAACACTGAACCTGGCAACCAACTCATAGTCACTTGAGGCTCATTCTGCTTTTGACTGGATAATTTGCTTAAAAACAAAACACGTGTCATATCCAAAGTGTTTGTAATTAAGTAAGTAATAAATCAGCATTACAACTGTAAACGGTAAAACTTTAGTTTGATTTGAGCATGTTCATCTTGTATTTACAGACACAGCAGCTGTGTTAAAGGTGCACTGTCTAACTTTTCTGGTGAAGGGTTCACCATCTGTAATTGTTTCCATGGAGATGTTATTGTGTTGTTGAGTGTCTTTAACAGCTTAACAATAAACTTCTATCTTTATGAAAACAAGCAGATACCCCTAGGCCAAATTAGAGTTCAGATCTGTGGAGAGGCTACCCTGCACAATTTTTCAAGGTATTATTGTAGCAAGAAAATCACCTGAATTTGAATAAATGTTAGATAGGTAGATTTAATGCCATACTGTGAAACATTCCAGGCACAATCTCAGTGAAGACTTCTCTGCATATTATACTATTTTCTGATCCGCGTTTTAATGTTGTTTCCTCATCACAAACATACCCTGTGATGCCATGTGGTTTTTACAGGAAGCGCTCCACTATGTTTTTAAACTCCATATATCTTCACTATAATCATGTGGATGATTTCAGACCTGGAATTGCCGATCTCTACTGACCTAAAGGTAAAAAGTAGCTGTTCACTTGAAAACTACCGCTTCATGACATCACAAGGTGGAACAGAGCATTTTGAGCTTTGGAGATTTAAACAAAATAATAAAACAAAATAAAACAAAACACAACTTGAGGTATGTTTTTGAGGAGGAAACAACATTATAACATGACTTAAAGCTCACAAGAGTCAATTTTGCATCATATAGGACCAGTAATATGTACAACAGGGATCTTTGTTGTCTGGGGTCCACATTATCCCTCCTGACTGTGATGGGGGCCGGGGTCGGGTCAGCGGTATAACAGAACAGAATACCGTATTTTAAGGAGTATTAAGCATTCTGGATTATAAGATGCACTGTGATTAAATGGTCTATTTTCGAAATTTTTTCACAAATAAACCACACCGGACTGTAAACGAAACACAACAGCTCGATGGCTCAGTGGGACTTTGTTTGGTGACTCTGGGCTTTGTTCGGTTGTGGCTCAGAAAGGCACATTGCACTCGCTTTTTCGGTTAGTTCCTCCGTTCCTCATCGGCATGGAGTGATGAGTGTGTCTGTGGGTGTTTTTCGCTGGTCGGTCGCTGTCTGCTCCATGTGTGTTTGTGTGTTCTGCGGGTGGTGCGGCTTTATGGTTTACTGAAGTCGCGCTGGGACACCTGAGTGGATTCGTGTATAGGGCACTCTTTTTCTGATGTGGTTGGAGACATAAGAGCGCGTCTAATAGCCCGGAAAATACGGTAACCCTGACAACGCAGATTATATTCTTTGAAAACCGCCACACTTTCTTTACATATCAGACAAACTGCATGCTCCTTGCACTGAACAAAACAATAATCAGTTGTCCACTGTTCTTTGAAAACTCGGCACGCTCTTTTAACTTTTCGTACTTTAACACTCACCATGTTGCTGTCCTTAACTGCACTACAGAACTCTGCACGTGCGTTGACTGTCACTGTTTGATCTCGAGCTTGTCAGGTGACGAAAATTTCAGCGGAAAATGTAAATATATCATATCATAATTTAAATATTAAATATAAATACTTCATATAATACAGCGTTTTAATTGAAAAACAAACAAAACACAAGATGCAGACGTGGTGTTATTATTTGCCACAAAGTATTTAAAAAAGACAGGCCGTGACAACTTTTGAGAAATGCCTCATAGGGCCAGTTCAAGTGGTGAGGGGCAGAGGGGCTGGGGTCAGGTCAAAAGGGCATGGAGGTCCAGGGTCAGCCTGCCAGCCTTAGATTGATGACCCCTGATGTACAACAAGCTTCACACATCCACTTACATACAGCAGCCATTAGCGATTTGAGAAAAATATATGTTTTCAGTTCTGTTCATTAAACACTAGAAGCAGACTGACGAATGAACTGCTTTACTAATCACTTGTGTGTCATTATGGGCATAGGGTGTGCAGGCCATGACCCATTGTGTTGTCTGGAAAATTATTCTAGTGAAGGTGTGTGGAGTTTAAAAATGCAGTGGAGCTTTTCACACATTACCATATGACATCGCAAGGTGGAACAGAGTGTTTTCAGTTTGAGAGAAAAACTAAGCCTAAATATGCAGGGTTTGTGTGTTAAAGATCCGTGAATGGAAAAAAAAAAGCAAGTCCAGGTCTGTTTTTGACGAGTAAACATTATAACACAGATCGGAAAATAGCGTAATATGAGCCCTTTAAGCTAAACACAGAAAATTGAAGCTTTCACAGTTTTCTAATGTTAAGTAAAGGGTTCAGAACAAGGCAAGAATTCTCACCTCTCACCTTTGTTGTTACAGGCCCTATTCAATGCTGGACGACACACACAGAGGTGAAAGGGCTAACTGCAAACAAAGGGGAGGGGTGCTGGAAAAACTTCACCCGAATGATACTTTAACGATTTTAGGACAAACATTTGTAACAAAATTGGGCTTTGAATAAACTTTGGTGCTACTCAATGGTATCTAAACCTTAAAGGGCTCATATGACGCTATTTTATGATCTTTGTGATAAAATTGTTTCCTCATCACAAACAAACCTTGCATATTTAGACTTTAGAGTTTTTCTACCAAATAGAAAACACTTTGTTCCACCTTGTGATGTCAAGTGATAATACAGAAAGTGCTCTACTGTGTTTTCAAACTCCATACACCTTCAAGAGAATCATTTGGAGGATTTCAGCTCTGGAATTGCTAATCTTTACCGAACTAAAGGTAAAAGGTAGGTGTTAACTTGTAAACTACCCTTACGTTACATCACAAGTTGGAACAGAGCGTTTGGACAGCTGGACACATAGACAAACTAATAATAAAGAGCTACTCAAACATGTGTGAATGAAACAAAAGACAACTCCAGGTCTGTTTATGACGACAGCACTAAATTCTAACATGGTTTAAAGCTCACAAGACAAAAGTGAAAAAATGCATAGCACACTCATATGGCCGATGTCCAAAAGCTTTTTTAAAATTTTTAAATAACGTTTCAGCAACAAAAGCGTTCGTCAGACATTTTTCTTGCTTTGGACCACATACTACTGTAGGTACTGTGGTCCTAAGCAAGAAAAATATCTGACGAAAGCTTTTTTTTTTTTACTGAAGCGTTATTTAAAAATAAAAAAAAAGCTTTTGGACATCGCTCCATCTGAGTGTGCTATGCATTTTTTCACTTTTGTCTTGCTGCTTCTTGCATTTGCACCTCGAGAATTTTGGTGTGCGTTTCGTGTTTCTTTTGTTTAAAGCTCACACCAATCAATTTTGTGTAATATAGGACCTTTAAACAGTAAAACAAAAACTGCTAAAATGTTAAGTTTAAATCACTGTGGCCTATTATTGACTCTTTTCCCATCTGAACATTTTGTTAACCGAAAGTATATCCAATAAGTACTTTTAAAAGTGACATAAAACGATTTGGTACACACTTATAGTACACCTTAAGTACACCTAAGTGAGTGAGGATTACAGTATTAATTAAGATCAACTAAGCCTGAATCATTCTTAAAGGTGCATTGTGTAGCTTTTCTGGTGGAGAGTCCTTCAAATGCTTTTCTCAGGTCAGATCTGTGGAGAGGCGACCCCGCTCACAGTCAGAATGTCTGTTTTTCTAGGTATTTTTGAGCTCTTAAACCACATGTAATTGAGTAAACGTAAGGTAGAGCTGTTTAATGTCATACTGTGGAAGATTCCAGGCACAGCAATGGCATATCCGTAGAAACAAAAAAGTTGCACCGTGCACCTTTGAGGCTGTTAAACCTGTAGTGATTAAAGTGTTGTCAGTTATTTTATTGGAGTGATTAAAATACCTCTTCCTTCTCTACATTTATAGCATCAGTTTGCATATGAGACAAACTTAGACTTTAACTGTACAGACTGCATTCCTCTTTACCATTTTCTGTTTCCTTGGACATAGCTCGAAATAGACATCTAGTTCACGTCAATATTTGATTGAGGTATACTGATTCAGCCATGCACTAAAGTAATTTCCTCTACTACTTCTTTTGCATGTGTTTATTAAAGGTCCTATAATACGCAAAGTTGACTCTTGTGAGCTTTAAGCCATGTTATAATGTTGTTATCGCATCAAAAACATACCTGGAGTTGTGTTTTGTTTTGTTTCATTCAGACATGTTTGGGTAATCCTGCATTATTAGCCTGTCTACATCTCTAAAACAGAAAATCCTATGATGTCACAAAGTGGTAATTTTCAAGTTAACAGCTGCTTTTACCTTTAGTTCAGCAGAGATCAAAAATTTTAAATCAGACATCAGAAATTAACCACATTATTTTAGTGAAGATGTAGTTTAAAAACACAATGGAGCACTTCCTGTATTACCACATGACATCACAAGGTGGAGTGTTTTTCAGATGATTTGAGATGTGTGAATGAAACAAAACACAACTCCAAGTTTGTTTTTGATGAGGAAACATTATAACATAAATCAGAAAATAGCTTTTAAACGTTGCACAAATATTTTAGCTATTTTTATTTATTTATTCATAAAATTCACCAACCTGAATTTGTGGCATTGCTGGACTTCACAGTTGTTTTAATCCCACTTTTGTAGTTTTTTCCAGGAGTTGCACCCGGTGTCTTAAAGTGCATCTTGTAGGTTGACACATATCTGGCTTGGCTGGTCATGTCCCCATTCATTTCTACAGGAGACCTTGCAGTCGTCCAGCTCTATTGAAAAGTTAAGGAGACATTTCACATGCAGCCTGTGTATCGGACTTCCTCTTCTGATCTGTGCACAGCTGAAATAGTGCATGGCTCTCACACTTCTCAGCCTCTCGTTTCTCACCCCTCCCCTCCCCTGTCTGAACCACCAAGCCCCGCCCACGTCACAATAGGGCTGCACTATTCGTGGAAAGTATGTAATTGCGATTTCACTGACAAGCATTACAATAGAGATTAGATCTGAGATTCACAGTATATATGAACAAACAGATTTGGCACAATATTACGCTATTTTCTGATCTGTTATAATGTTGTTTACTGGTCAAAAACAGACTTTTGTTTCACTCACAAATATTTAACACACAAACCCTGTATATTTAAGAGTTCTTCTCTCATATAGAATCTATTACGTGACATCACAAGGTCAATGGAGATGTTAGTGCTTCATCTAGAATGTTTCACAGTATGGAAATAAACCAAGGAGACCAAACCAGACCAATTTACAGGTAAGATCTGTGGAGAGGTTACCCCACTCACAGTCAAAATGCCTATTTTTTATTTGATTGGAAAACAAAAATGTGATCTTTTAGAACCCCTTTAATCATCTCATGTTTCTACAAAAACATGTCCCCATTTTGTTGGAGAATTTGTGGCATGGTGGCGGATCACTCACACATCTGGGATTGCCCAGTCCTTTGTCATTATTGGCAGGACATTAAAATGCTGGCACAACACTCAAACCCATCGAATCACTTTTTTAAAAAGCCATAAAAATATTGGACAAGAAACCATTCTCATTTCACCACTGCACTATTTTAGACAAGTATAATTTGCTTAATTTTAATAATTTTATTGGTTTTAAATATGGTCTATAAAGTTTTGCATGGACTTGCCCCTCCTCCATTACAGGATTTTATTAAAGTAAAGACTGTGAGTGGGATGGGAACTAGGGCCACAGCCCGGGGGAACTGTGACGTCCCACACAGACGCACAACATTCGGACAAGGTGTGTCACAGTCAGAGGCACAAAACTTTGGAACAGTCTGCCACTATCAGTAAGAGAAACTTCAACTCTTGCCACCTTCAAGTCCTCCTTAAAAGAGTGGCTAAAGAAAAACCAGACTTGTGGACACTTTTAGTATAGATTTGTTACTTGTTTTTGCTTTGTTTAAATTTGTGGTGTTACCTGCCAAGGGACTACAGATGGAAATGAGCAGTCTTGCTATAATCTGGCATATTTACACTGCAATGTCGTAGATGTTCATTAATATGCACTGTCCCTATTAAATAAATAAATAAAATAAAATAAAAATAGATATAGAAAATATACTGTCTATGGATCCAATGATATACAGTATGTATTAGGAGCATTGTCAGATAATGTATGTGTAAAAGAAAAACAGGATGGTCTTCTTATTCTTTTGATGATTGCACAAAAAATTATAACTGTTAAATGGAGAAAACCCTCCCCTCCGACAAGGACAGAATGGACACAGAGACTAAAACATAAGTGTATATCATGGAACAGCTGACAGCCAAACTTCAGATGAAAGCTTATTCGCAGAACGATGGACTCTGGTGACTATGTACCTGAATAATAACTAGTATAAATAATAACCCTTTGTCAAGGGATGTTCTAAATGTTTATTTCTACTGCTGTTCTTAAAAAAAAAAAAAAAAAAAAAAAAAAAAAAGCCTGTTTTTTTCTGTAACTTAATAAAAGTATAGGTAGAGCTATTTAATATACATTTCACATTCAGGCAAACATTCCAGGCAAAGCAACGACATATCCATAGAAACAAGCAGGTGAAGGACCCTCCACCAGAAAAGTTACACAATGCACCTTTAAGTTAATGAGATTCAAGCTACAATCCTGGTTTACTCAAAACTCAGACAATTTGGGACAGAGCAAACCTCTTCTTATCTCACTCATACTCGTGCCTGACCTCGCCCACTGCACAAACCACACAAGCTTTTATTGCACCAGTCCTCCCACAGAGACCACCATAAACTCCCATAAAGAACATAAAGAAAGAGAAACAGCCCACAGAGGAGTGAAGGGGCTGTTATCTGTGGCTCCAGGCAAAGGTCGGACAGCAGCTGTATCGATCACTGTGTTTACTCACTTCTTATCAATGCTACACTTGAACTTTAGGCACGATTCAGCAGACTGAGTTCTACAGTACACGTCTGTCCCAATATTTATTTAAGCTTTAACTCATTATTTCAATTCATAAGCTCATAAACTCGACAGTTTATAGCCAAATTATTACAAACAGCCCAGTACTGAGAGAGTTTCAACAGAAAACTAATATTAGATTATTTAAAGCTCCTTTTATTACATGTAAATTTGGCAGGACCTCAGGTAAATGTTGGAAGGGTGTCATTCCCAAATATTCTGGGACTGCCCTAAACTGGCAACATTTTGGAAAGATGTGCAATGTGAAACTGAAAACTGTTTATGTATCAAAATTGTATTAGAGCCATCCTTTGTGCTGTTGGGAATTTTTCCAAATGACATTACATTAAATAGTAATTTTCACTTGTTGAAAATTTTACTTTAAATTGCCAAAGAAATTATAATGACCTCCTGGCTCAGGACGCTGCCCCCCACAATTACCCAGTGGAAAAGTTAAATAAAGGATATGTATCATATGGAGCAAATAAGTGCAAGGTTACAAATGAAGACAGATTTATTCCTGGACAAATGGTTTATAATTCAAGACTATTTCAAATGGATGATTATCTTTGTTAGCCTGATTCATCAGCTGGTCTGATCTCACAGAATTACGATTCCTTCACTAGGCAGGTACTTTTTTTATTTAACCAATCGCTGCTATATAACGTATGTAATGCACCAAATCCTGTGGGAAGAGGGACAATAACATCTTTCCTCTTGATAAAATTCACCAAACATTCTCTTTGTTCCAGCTTTAAATCCTCCATCTCAGGAATTGTTGCCAACACAGAATGTATGTCTTTGTCAACATCCATCTCAATGCTTTGTTTACTGTTGTGCTGTTCCACAAAAGGGACCCAGACAGTCGCTTGAGTTTGACGTCCCGGCTTCACAGCTCTTCGCTGATTGGCCGGCGCGCGGTTCTTCCAAACCGTCTAGTGTATTCTGATTCCTGACCTAGTCGCTGAAGAGAAATGAAATTGGGCGGAGACAGTAAGTGGCGTCAGCCTGGCTATATCCTTGTATCTACACACACACAAAAAGTTTATAGCTAAATTAAAGCAGAACTGTTATGCAGAATAGAGTTTTCAGAGTTTTTCACCATGTTATAGTTGCTTCTCTTCTCATTGACCCTCTCGAAGTTGTATGATGTGATTGGTGCATGTTTGAGCAATCTTTAATCGCTTATTTTCAAGACGCCATTTTGTCGATCAACCCACGTTTTCACTGTTTTCACTGCCACTGCTCTATACATACTTCGTTCTCCATTTTTATTTTTGTTGATACATGTAGGATTCAGCAGCGTCACGTAGCGTGATGTGTAACTGTCCATCCGAGGTGCTCACTCTTTGTTGTTATGACGTTTACATCGACGTCAGCTGACTTTATTTATTTATTTTTTATTAAGTTGTTTTCGGTAAATATTGCAATTTAGAAATCTGTTAATTACAACATAAAGATCCATGGGTGTCATAGATTATACAGCACAGTAGATATACAGCAGAAACAAGCACAGTAGGTCGTCCTTAAGAGAGCAAACAGTGATACTGATAATACACTGGACATACAAAAAGCTTTACAATGCATTATTCATTCACTCCACACTAACCATCTGAGCCACAGCTGCCCTGGGGCACACTCACCACATTCATACCAGGCAATGTGGTCTGAAGTGTCTTGCTTAAGGACACGATGACAGTTTCTACCAGAGGAGCCAACTACTAAATCAAGGCAAAGTTTTATAAAGGTGTGACTGTAAACACACTGCAGATTACACATTTATACATTACTGATCTGAGAGATAAGCAGAGTATAAATAAAAGTTCTTGGCAAACTACCAACAGTAAATAGTCTTGTTACACTGATTTACATGTGTCAGCAGAATTGACATTTGGGAGCTGATATTTGATCCCGCAAAATATACCAGTATCGGAAGGATGCAAAGACTGTATAAAGAAGTGGACTGAGTGTGACGTCAGCCACAGCGTTCAGCTCCAGTCAAATGAAGCTCACAGAGGCAGTTATAGGGCGAATTTATGAGAATATTTTTTGTAATTTTTTTGTAGTTTTGGTTAGGGGTGTAATAGTACACAAAAATCACGGTTCTGTACGTACCTCGGTTTTGAGGTCACGGTTCAGTTCATTTTTCGGTACAGTATGGGAACAAAATACAAAACCATTTGCTTGTTGTTCATTTGTGTGTTTATTAAACCAACAATTAGTTTTAACATTATATAAACGGGAAAATAAAATAAATGCAAAGTGCTATTTTATTTACTAATGAGTTAAATAAAATATTCTCAAATAAGCAACAAATGTATGAAAGATTATAAAAAATAAATTCCTTGTAAATGGTAAACAAAGGTTTTTCAAAAAGTGAAGCGCAGCACTAACAGTTCCAGCACAAAGTTTTACTCACTCTTCATATTTTTGGCCAGAAAAACTTGTCCACATTGTCTGCAGTAAGTGCAGATCTGCTGGCAGTTACAATGTGCCCAGCGGTTGAAAATACACTTTCACTAGGGGCAGAGGTCATGGTGGAAGCGGAGATTCCGTGCTGGGGAAAGTGAGGACTAGGTTGCGACAACCATACTTTTGCGAGGATTCACATGGTTTGGAGGGATGTAGTCAAGGCGCCCGCCCTAACTATAAAGCGCTGCAGGAAACACAGGCACCCCAATCACGGACGAGTTCCCTCATGAATATTAGCCAAGACTTCCATGATACTGCACATGTAGTGGTGGAATGGAAACACACACAAATTGTGTGAAATCACTCGTGCACAACCCTGCACCGAAACATACATCCTGTAGCAAAACAGTTCAGCACAAATACATGTACCGTTACATCCCCAGTTTTGATATATTTTTTGGTTAAATT